ATGACCTGACTCAAAGGGGAACTGAGAAAGGTTTCCAAGAGGAAGGGACATCTGAGCTGAGTTTTGAAGGATGAGTAGGTGCTCGCCGGATAGAAAAGGGTATGGAAGAACATTCAAAGCAGAGGAAACAGCATGTACAGAGGCATGAGAAAGAGGCGTGATGTTTCAAGTTTGGAGTCTGGGGGTGGTGGTCAGTGTGGCACAATTAGAGCTCAGGGAGCCTTAGAGAGACTGGCAGGGGGCAAGACTGAGAAGGTTAAGAAGAGGGCCTTTGGAGTCAAGCTGCTGGGATTTTAATCCATCTCTGTAGATGGATTTTAATCTTGGATTTTTAATTCACCTTGTATGACCGGGTCTCTCTGAGCCAGTTTCCCCATCTGTAAAATGGGGTTGATACAATCCTCATGGACTTGTTTTGAGGATGAAATGAGGCATTACATAGCCAAAGCTCAGCAAGGTGCTTGACACTAGTAAGTGTTCAAAAGCATTAGCTCTTATTATTGATAATGTGACGTGACATGTGGTCATTACCGTTGTTGCCGGGGCTGCTGTTATTGTTACCATGTTATTGTGACTGCTGCTCCAATACGACAAATGAGATTGGGGCACATTAAGAAGAGCTTCACGTGCCTGGCAAAGGAGTGTGGATTTTCTTCTCTTGGCAACAGGGAGCCTTCAGAGGTTTGTAAACTGAGAGCAACATGATTAGATTCAGGAGGAAGCTCTCTCTGGTTGAGGGTGGTTGGAAGGGAAGTGGCAGGGAGGCAGGGAGAGCTGATGAAACCTCAACCAGGGCAGCGGGGATGGGGACAGTCATTTAGAAGTGGAGTCTGCACCTGCTGATGGAGAGGATGTGGGAAGTGAGGAGGCAGGAATCAGCTGACTGCCACGTGCCATCTCCCACCTTAGTGAATGCAGGGGAGGAAGCCTGCCTGTCCAACCGTGCACCACCCTCCTCTATGTGCAACACTGTTGTCAGCTCTCAACACGGTCCTTGCTCAGGCCAGGTCTCTCAGGTGCAGATTGGTCCAACCGCTGGGCTTCTCCCTCACAAGACTCTTATTCTGGGTGCACAAGCCCTTTCCCCTTCAATCTGAAACTTCCACCCCCATGTTTTCTGCAGTATCTGAGGGTGATGTTTCTGGCCCTCCTGTGCCTTCAACCGAGGAGCTCTACAGACCCATCTCCCAGTGGTAGCTTGGGGACCCGCGCCTTCCACCACTGCCTCGTTTCAGCGCTTTTGGTGCCATCTGCTGGCAATGCCATGCCACTGCATGGTTCTCCCACCCATCTGAGGCAGCACCTGGCCACACAGGGTCACGGCTTTCCCCATCTGTCCTGAGAAATGCCCTCAGACCCAGCCATACCCAGATGGACTGGTGCAGAAAGAACCTGGGTCTCTGGCACCATCTGTGCAGATGGCTGCTGCTTTCCCACATGTCCTGGCGCTGAGCCCTGCCTCCGCTGGTGATGGGAGCAGGGCTGTGGTGCCGCCCCACACCCCATGCCCACCCCTCCCACACTCACCTGGGGCCACGAGCTTACTCAGGTGCCCCTGCTTCTTCTGCTGGCATCCAGTCACTTCTCACCATTCCCACAATCGCTTCTGTAGGCCAGGACACCATCATCTGTTAACTGGGTGACTTAACATAGCTCCTCACTGTTCCTTCTCAACACGTGCATGTTCATGTGCGAGTACATGCTCACACACACACACGCACACGCACACGCACACACACACACACACACAATCTGTTCTTCATATGCAACCAGAGGAGCGAGTTTTTTAAAAACACGCACACGCACACGCACACACACACACACACACACACACACACAATCTGTTCTTCATATGCAACCAGAGGAGCGAGTTTTTTAAAAAGCAAATATGACTGTGCCACTCTTCTGATATAACTCACCGTCGCCCATTGCACTGAGGAGTAAGCCCTCTCCAGAAGGAGCAAGGCTGAGCACAGGTCTGTTCCCCTGCTATGTCCCGTGCTGGCTCCAGAAGTCACCTCTAGGGAAGAGCCTCCATCCTGCAGTCTGTAAAGTAGCTCCCTGTCTCCCTGCTCCATCCTTGTCTCCCCTCTTCAAAGGAGCCCTGGTGTGAGGCCCCTCTGTCCCCTTGAGATCTTTCACTCCCTGTCTCTGGATTTTGGGAGCTCCAGCAGCTGTTTGCGCCCTGTGTTCCCTCTGAGGGGCTGCAGGCCCCTGACCCTTCCCCCTCGCTGGGGCGGACCCATGTGTGGTCACTGCTCCATATAGGTAGGAACACAAACACATGGCTGTCTCCTCTCAGGGACCATGTCAGAATTCCCTAGAATCCTAACATGAGGCTGGATTCTTTTGGGAGGCACTTGGTTACTTGGGGGCTTCCCTAAGATCTGAGCTCCTGGGTCAAAAGGTCCTAAGTCAGAGGTTTCAAACTCTGGTCTANGCTCCTCACTGTTCCTTCTCAACACGTGCATGTTCATGTGCGAGTACATGCTCACACACACACACGCACACGCACACGCACACACACACACACACACACACACACACAATCTGTTCTTCATATGCAACCAGAGGAGCGAGTTTTTTAAAAAGCAAATATGACTGTGCCACTCTTCTGATATAACTCACCGTCGCCCATTGCACTGAGGAGTAAGCCCTCTCCAGAAGGAGCAAGGCTGAGCACAGGTCTGTTCCCCTGCTATGTCCCGTGCTGGCTCCAGAAGTCACCTCTAGGGAAGAGCCTCCATCCTGCAGTCTGTAAAGTAGCTCCCTGTCTCCCTGCTCCATCCTTGTCTCCCCTCTTCAAAGGAGCCCTGGTGTGAGGCCCCTCTGTCCCCTTGAGATCTTTCACTCCCTGTCTCTGGATTTTGGGAGCTCCAGCAGCTGTTTGCGCCCTGTGTTCCCTCTGAGGGGCTGCAGGCCCCTGACCCTTCCCCCTCGCTGGGGCGGACCCATGTGTGGTCACTGCTCCATATAGGTAGGAACACAAACACATGGCTGTCTCCTCTCAGGGACCATGTCAGAATTCCCTAGAATCCTAACATGAGGCTGGATTCTTTTGGGAGGCACTTGGTTACTTGGGGGCTTCCCTAAGATCTGAGCTCCTGGGTCAAAAGGTCCTAAGTCAGAGGTTTCAAACTCTGGTCTACGGCCACACCTTGGAGACCACTGCTGGGAAGGGGGACATCTTCCCAAAACACATCCCTGCTTCAACCCAAGCAGTCCTGCTTGAATTTATTGCTTATCTGAATTCTCCGTATAATTTTGTTAGAGTTTTCCATACAATTTTGTTTGGAGAAAGCCTTCTGGGATTAAAAAAAAGTTTTAAAACCTCATTCAAAATGTCATCCCATTACACCAACACTTGCAAAGCATTTTATAGCTGATTTTTTATTTTTATACTTTTATATATTATTAACTTCATTTTTACTCACAAGGACACTGAGGCTCAGAGAGGTTAAGTGCCTTGCCCAAGGTCACAGGCAATCCTTAACAGCATGTAAGTGATGGAGCTGGACTCAAACTCAGGCATTCTGGCTCCACTGACCTTCTTGTGGCCTCGTGCGGGGAACCCGGTATGTCCCCACCAGAGCCCGGGAAGCTGCCTGGAGCTGACTGTGCCTGTGTGTCCCTCCCAGTGCTGCATTGACAACTTTGAGGAAATCGTCAAGCTGCTCCTTTCCCATGGTGCGAATGTGAATGCCAAGGACAATGAACTGTGGACACCCCTGCACGCTGCAGCCACTTGCGGCCACATCAACCTGGTGAAGATCCTCGTTCAGTAGTACGTGCCCCTCCCTCCCCCAACACCAGCCTCACTCACCTCGTGTGTTTTTCTAAGTCTGCCCGTCCTTTCTTTCCTCTCTCTCTGCCATTCCTTCTCTTTCTTCCTTGGTGCTTGTCACTCTCTCTTTCTCTCTCTGTTTCTACCTCTCTCCTCTTCCTCCCCCAAATTCCTCTTGTCTCTCTCCATCTCTGTATGTCTTTATCTTTTTCTCTCAGTCTCTGTCTCTCCTTCATTCTTGGTTTCTCTGTCTTTTTGACTCTTTGTCTCTCTCTATTGTCTTTTTTGCCTCAATTTTTTTATTGTGGTAAAATATACNGACTCTTTGTCTCTCTCTATTGTCTTTTTTGCCTCAATTTTTTTATTGTGGTAAAATATACGTAACATAAAATTTACCATCTTAGCCATTTTGAAGTGTATAGTTCAGTGCTAATTAAATACATTCATAATGTTGTGCAACCATCACCACCATCCATCTCTAGAACTCTTTCCATCTTGCAAAACTGAAACTCTGCCCATTAAACAATATATCCCATCCCCTGCCAACCCCCAGCAACCACCTTTCTATTTTCTGACTGTGTGACTTTGATTACTCTAAGTATCTCATATAAGTGGAATCATACAGTATTTTTATTTTTGTGACTGGCTTATTTCACTTAACGTAATGACCTCAAGGTTTATCCATACTGTAGCATGTGTCAGAATTTCCTTTATTTTTAAGACTGAATAATATCCCACTGTGTGTACATACCATGTTTTGCTTATCCATTCATCCACTGATGAACACTTGGGTGGCTTCCATGTTTTAGCTATTGGGAATAATGCTGATATGAATGTGGAAGTACAGACATCTCTTTGAGACCCTGCTTTCCATTCTTTTGGGTATATACCCAGAAGTGGAATTGCTGTTTCATATGCTAATTCCATTTTTAATTTTTTAAGGAGCTGCTGTACTGTTTTGTACAGTGGCTGTACCATTTTACATTTTCATCAACAGTGCACAAGGTTTCCAGTTTCTCTCCATCCTCCTCATTAACACTTGTTATTTTCTGTTTTTTTTTCTTTTTTGTTAGTAGCCATTTTAATGGTATCTTATTCTGGTTTTGATTTGCATTTCCCTAATGATTAGTGATGTTGAGCATCTTTTGATGTGTTTATTATCCATTTGTATATCTTCTTTGGAAAAATGTCTATTCCAGTCCTTTGCCATTTTTGAATTTTTGTTTATGTATTTTTATCATTGAGTTTTAGGAGTTCTCGATATATTCCAGATGTTAAACCCTTATCAGATACATAATTGGCAAATATTTTCTCCCATTCTATCGATTGTCTTTTTACTCTATTCATAGAGTCTTTTGGTGTACAGAATTTTGAAATTTTCACAAAGTCCAATTTTTCTATTTTTTCTTTTGTTGCTTGTTACCTTTGGCATCATATCCAAGAAATCATTGCCAAATCCAATGTCTTGAAGTTTTTGCCCTGTTTTCTTCCAGGAGTTCTATAGTTTTAGGTCTTACATTTAGGTCATGGATCCATTTTGAGCTAAGTTTTGTATGTGGTATTAGGTAAGGGTCTAACTTCATTCTTTAGCATGTGGATATTCAGTTTCCTCGGCACTGTTTGTTGGAAAGTTGTCTTTGCCTCATTGAATGGTCTTGGTACCCTGTCAAAAATCATTTAACTGTACATGCGAGGGTTTACTCCTGGACTCATTGGTCTATATATCTGTCTTTATGCCAGTACCACATTGTTTTGATTACTGTAGCTTTATAATAAGTTTTGAAAACAAAGTGTGAGTCCTCCAGCTTTGTTCATCTTTTTCAGGATTGTTTTGGCTATTGAGGGTCCCTTGAGAGTCCATATGAATTT